CCATGTTGGCTAACTAGTTTATTGTTTTGGCATGGAGTACGATGTAAGTATTTATGCTTTAGCATCCTTGCATGCGTGTGAGTGTTGCCATGATAGCATGATTACCATGAGGCTAGCTGCTTAGGTGATATAAACTGCTTGAATGCCTGTGGGTGAAGGTTGGATTGTCTGAGTTGGAAAAACTCATTGAAATCCGTGTTTTAGCCTACTTGCGGGTAGCAAATTCCAAAACATTTTTCCAAAACAAACGGATATGCAATGCTTATTTCCAAATTAGGCAATTTGGTCTATTCTTGTTTGCTGTGCGCATAACATAGTAATGCTAGGCTAATAATTGGTTTAAGAACACATAACGTTTTCAAAAATGGATATCATGATTAGTAGAGGCCGATCTTCGGATCAGGCGAGAGGGGGTGCTCATAGCTGACCTTCCCCAATCGTACCCAAGTTCCCGAGCCGAGGCAACTTTGGTGATGACGGACACGTGGCCTTTGGCACTGAGTCAGGGTTTCCTAAATTCCCCCATTTTAAAATATTTAGGTGGTGACTCTGTATCTGGCAAAGCAGTCCATGTTTGGCACTTCTTTTCAAAAAATCTGTTTCTCAAAACAATTTGCCGGATTTGGACTCTTTGGTTCAGATTAAGAACCGTGACACAAATCGAGTCCGAACTGTAGCGAGGGCCCCACGCGGGCGCGTCTACACCGACATGGCCACTGGGAACAACCAGCTTGGAGGTGCAGGCAGGCACCAGGAAGATAACAATAGAGTTCACCGTAATCGACACACCCTCCCCTTACAACATCATCTTGGGAAGGCCATGGTTGCATGCAATGGGGGCTATTCCCTAAACATTGCATCAACTATTGCGGTTCCCAGCAGAGCATGGGATTGAAGAGGTTAGAGGAGATCAGCTGCAGGCAAGGAATTGCTCCATGGCAGCAATGAAATCCACCTGCACCATTCGAGAACCAGAGAAGGCAGAGATCAAAGACCAGGACGTGGAGGTCCTAGAGGATGTCGGCAATGAGCCAGCCGAGAAGAGTGAAGAAGCACTGAAGAAAATCCTCGTCCAGGAGGGGGATGAAGAATGCTTTTTTCTTCTCAGCTTGGGCTTAGCCGAAGAAAAGGAAAAAGAGTTGGAAGCTTTTTTTAGAGCAAATATCGAGGTGTTCATGTGGACGCCCTACGAAATGCTTGGCATTGACCCCGAGGTCACTTGCCATAAACTGAACGTTGACAGGTCGGCCAAACCTGTAATCCAACGAGCAAGAAAACCGACGTTAATACACATCGAAGCAGTGGAGGAGGAAGTAGACAAACTACTGGAAGCTAGGGCCATTCATGAGGTAAATTACCCGACATGGCTATCGAACACAGTAGTGGTGAAGAAGAAGAATGGTAAATGGAGGGTCTGCGTGGACTTTACTAACCTAAACAAGGCATGTCCCAAAGACAGCTTCCCTCTACCCAAGATTGACCAGCTAGTGGATGCCACTTCAGGGCATGGAAACCTGGATGCCTACAGGGGGTATCACCAGATAGCCATGTACCCTGCGGATGAAGAGAAAACTGCGTTTATCACCCCAAAAGGGTTGTACTGCTACAGAGTAATGCCTTTTGGGTTGAAAAACGCAGGCGCAACTTACCAAAGGTTGGTAACCAAGATGTTCAGACACCTGATTGGGCGAACGGTGGAAGTTTACATCGACAACATGGTCGTGAAGACCAAGGAACCTGAAGGTCATCTGGCCGACCTCAGAGCAGTCTTTAAAATCCTTAAAGCATATCGGCTTCGACTCAATGCATCAAAGTGCGCATTTGGAGTTGGATCTGGTAAGTTCTTGGGATACCTAGTGACCAGAAGGGGCATTGAGGCCAGCCCAGATCAGATCAAGGCCATACTGGAGTTGAAGAGCCCGACGTCAGCAAAGGAGGTGCAAATGCTAACTGGAAGGGCCGCAGCCCTGAATAGGTTCATCAGCAGAAGCTCAGACAAGTGCAAACCTTTTTTCAACTTAGTAAAGAAAGCCACAGACTTCCTATGGACCGAGGAGTACGAAGCCGCTTTTTCCGACCTAAAGAAGTATTTGACCACAGCCCCAATTCTTTCAAATCCAGAACCTGGAGAGGAGCTGTTTTTATACCTAGCAGTTTCAGAACATGCGATAAGCGCAGTGGTAGTCCGAGAAGAAAAAGGGAAACAAAGGGCTGTTTACTATGTAAGCAAAACCTTGGCCGATGCAGAAACGAGGTATCTACTCTTAGAGAAATTAGCACTAGCTTTAGTAATGGCTTCAAAGAAGTTGAACCGTTACTTCCAAGCCCATAAAATTGTGGTGTTAACTGAACACCCCTTGAAGTCTTTGCTGCAACAAGGAGACCTGACAGGAAGAATAGCCAGATGGGAAATCGCCCTGGGCCAGTATGACCTGGAGTACAGACCCAGAACAGTAATCAAAGGCCAGGTTTTGGCCGACTTCGTGGCCGAGTTCACGCCAGAATCCATCAAACATCAAGCTCTGTTGAGCCAGGGTGAACGATGTCCAAACAAACAAAGAGGAGCCCAGTCGAGGGCAACGGAACAAAGGAAGGAAGAAAAACTCAGACCCTGCAGCATTTACATCGGCGACTCCTTTCGACTATTCGTTGATGGGAGCTCAAACCGACAGGGAGCGGGGGCAGGAGTAGTATTGATATCTCCAGATGGGCAGGTACTAGAACAATCAATTCGTTTGGGGTTTAAGGCCTCAAACAACGAAACAGAGTATGAAGCACTCATTGTAGGACTGAAACTGGCAGTAACAGTACAAGCAGATGAGGTAATAGTCTTTTGTGACTCACAGCTTATAGTCAACCAGACAACAGGCGAGTTTGCAGCTCGAGATGAAAGGATGTCGGCCTACGCAAAGGAGGTCATCAGGTTGGCAGCCTTGTTTCAAAACTGCCGACTACTTCAGGTCAGCCGCGATGATAACAGTCACGCCAATGCATTGGACAACCTAGCTAGTACAGTACAACCTGAAAAAGCAAGGACAATAATGATTGACCATTTGTCGGGCCCGAGCATCGAACCACTGCCCACAGAGTATGAAGCAATATGTGTGGACATGGGACCAAGCTGGACGGATGCAATTATTGCATCCTTGAAAGAAAGAAAGCTACCAGATGACCACAAGGAGGCACACAAGATCAAATTGAAGTCGGCAAGATTCAGTCTGACAACAGAGGAACACCTCTACAGAAGATCCTTCAATGGACCTCTTTTGAGGTATGTACATCCTTTACAAGTTGAAGATTTTTTATATGAAATTCATGAAGGAATTTGTGGAAGCCACGATAGGGGCAGATCACTTGCCCATAGGGCCATTACCCAGGGGTATTGGTGGCCCTACATGCAGAAAGATGCAAAAGCCTATGTGAAGAAGTGTGAAAAATGCCAAAGATTTGCACCTCTGATACACCAACCAACAGCAGACCTGAACCCAGTATCCAGCCCTTGGCTGTTTGCCCAATGGAGCATGAATCTCGTTGGGAAACTGCCCCAAGCAACTGGACAAAGAAAGTACCTACTGGTAGTAACAGACTAGTTCACCAAGTGGATAGAAGCTGAACCCCTTGCCAAAATCCGAGATATTGATGTAAAGAGCTTCATATAGAAGAATATCATCACCCGATTTGGGATTCCAAAAGCAATAGTTGCAAACAATGGAACATAATTTGACAGCAAGCTAATTAAGAACTTCTGTGCAAAGTTCAAAATCAAGAACTATTTTTCAACCCCAAGCTTTCCCCAAAGCAATGGACAAGCAGAAGCATCCAACAAAGTTATCTTGGATGGGATAAAGAAGAGGCTGCAGGCAGCAAAGGAAAAGTGGATGGATGAACTACCAAGTGTGCTCTGGGCATATCGGACTACGTCGAGAAGATCAACGGGGAAATCCCCCTTTGCCATGGCTTATGGCACAGAAGTTGTCATTCCACTGGAGGTCAGCATCCCTGGGATCAAAACCCAAGGAGTTGAGAACGGGACTAATGATGTACTCTTAGCCCAAGATCTGGACATACTAGAAGAAATAAGGAAGAGAGCTGCAATTCAGTTGGCAGCATACCAGCAGCAGCTTGCCAGAGCTTATAATAAAAGGGTCAACCCAAGGAAGTTTCAAATCGGTGACCTCTGAGGAAAGTCGTCGGGAACAAGAAGGATCCCAGAGAGGGGAAGCTTGGCCCAAATTGGGAATGACCCTACAGAATCATCTCGGTACTGGGCAATGGGGCATATCGGCTTGAAGATAATGAGGGCAAAGAGTTGCCAAGGCCTTGGAACACTTGCAATTTGAAATTTTTCTATCATTAGAATTTTTTGTCATTTTGCCGAAGTAAATAAATAAAGTTTTAGCTTGTTTATATATGATTATACACTTGTGACTGATAAAGATACATAACGTTGTTTCTGGAATACATGTATAATGAGAACCCAAGTGGAACTTAGGTTCACCTCAGGGAGCAGAGAGAAGAAAAATGGGTTTAACACTTGTTGAAACTTGAGAAAAGTTTACAAGTTGAAGTTAAACCGAGATTATGTTTAACACTTGTTAAAACTTGAGAAAAGTTTACAAGTTGAAGCTAAACCAAGATCATGTTTTACATTTGTTGAAACTTGAGAAAAGTTTACAAGTTGAAGACTAAGGTTAAACACTTGTTGAAATTTTATGAAAAAAATTTTACAGGGTGAAACCAAGGTTGTGCCAAGAAAGGTACTTTTGTACTTGCCGAGGTAAATCCTCAGTTTGTATAACCAAGGTGTGTCACCCCGAGAAGGTTGCACAAAGATTGAAGTGTATATTAAAGATATGCAAAATATTCTAAGTATGGAAGCATACAAGGCAAACATGCAAGCATTCAAAATAAAAGAGTTGAATTAAAAGAACATCGACGATGTAAAGAGTTTACATTACTTCAAAAAAAAAAACAAAGTACAAAAACAAAGGAAAAAGACATCAAAGTAAAGACTCTTCGGCAACAACAGGTGGTTGGGTCTGAAGTTTGGACGACTGCTGGGAAGACACCTCGACAGCCTTTTCCGCCGCAAGCTCGACATCAATTTCTTGAAGGGTTTCATCAAGGCTCTTATCGGCAAGAAACATGTCGACTGATGCCTTCTCAGCTGTAGCATCTTTGGGAACCTCGTCACCCTCCTCATCTTGAGTCAACTCCAGGACTTGCTCATTCAGAGAAGGGGACTTGGTCCCAATAGCCTCCTTTGATTTCCTCACCAAGGTCTCCTCTTCAGACTCAGATTCGTCGTCGGATTGACTTGGAGTTGGAGGGAATGGAAGAGGAATGACGTTGGCGTGCCTAAGGGGCGAGTCCTCGGGGACTTCAAGCTTTTTTAGAAGAGACATCTAACCAAGGGTGAAACCCTTGTTGCATGCCTGCTTCTCTTGCTTTTCATAGTCCGCTGTGACATTGGCCACACCCTCTTTGTAGCCCTTCTCATCGGCTGCCTTGAGCTCGGCGTCCTTCGTAGCCAAGGCTTCTTGCAACTCTTTTTGGGCCTGGGCCGTTTTCTCCTCGGCATCTTTCTTTTCGGCCTCAAGTACCTTCTTGATGGCCTCAGCAGAATCCGCCTTTTCTTCAGCGACATTCTGAGCCTTGATAGCAGCCTCAGCTTGATCCTCCAAGGTTTTCATCTTGGATTGCAAGCTTTTATTAGTCTTCTGCAGACTAGAGACCTCCCTCTTCTTTTTGGCCAGCTTCTCCCGGTTCTCGAAAGATTGTACTGAGAAAGAATGAGCATGCTGGATGGCCTGAAAGTGAACGTAAGTTATTACAAAAATTCTCTAAAGTATAAAAAAGAGAGAAAGAAAGAAAAATGACCAAATAAAGGCACTTACTTGAATAGAGCGCTGAAGCATCAAAGCATAGTTCTCGTATTCACTCAACTAGGCGTTTTGGTCGAGATCGTCGGGAAGAAGCAGAGCGGTGCTAAGGGCAACACCGACATTAATGTCATCAGCGCTGTCGCTGGCCATAACTGGCCTATCTTCCAGAGTGACTTGGGGGGCCCAGGGGGAATCATGCTTTCGAGACCCTGAGGTAGTTGCAGCGGATGACCTCGGCCTCTTTGATCTGGTGAACTCGGATGGTTGTGTTTCAGCAGACCTCTTCTCGGGGACAGAGGTAGTCTTCTCACTCTCAGCCAATTTGGAAATTGACAAGGTGTCCTCAGAATCGATCTGAGTCACCGTTGCCTTTGGCTGAGCCTTCTTGATCCTTTTTGTCTTCGGCTTTGGCTGGGTTGGTGCTGGTTGAGCATCAACTGAATCTGGAATACCGGCCAAGAGATCTTTGGCAACTACTTTCTGGCGACCCATCTCGACAGGAAAAAAAATTCGTCGCTGACGTTGGCGCTGGGATATTGGGATCAAATATGGAGCCGAGGTAGACGCCTGCTCAGCTGGATCAGAGGTTGATCCTTGATCTGGCCGAGATGAGGAGGCAGCTTGAGGAGTTGTGGCAGAGAGAGGAGATAGGCTCTTCTTCTTCTTCCTCTTTGGAACGTCGGGAAGAACCGACTTACAAGAAGGAATAAAGTTAAGGACCAGAGGGGCTCTCCGTTTGAGGACTGGCAGATCCAAAAGTTTCCTCAAGTCTTTGCTGGGAAAGAAAAACTAACGGAAGCCCTTTGGTGGCTGAGGGAGAGCTGCAAGAAAGATAGACGTTTGAAACAAATAAAGTATTGAAGACTTTAAAAAAGAAATTAGTATGAACACAGGGCTCTTACCATTGCCCTCTACAAAAATTGATCGAACAAGAGGGTAGAGATGGAGGTCCTCGTCTGGAGCGAACTCCTAGTTCCCCGAGGTGATGAAATAGTCATCCCCAGCTCCCTTGTTGGAGTCAGGGAGGTCGGCGACAATTTTGTACTCTGTGGACCTCGGCTTAAGGTAGTAAATATAGCCCGTATCTTTTTTGAGGCCACACATGGTGTAGCAGTATTGGATATCGGCTAAGGTAATCCTAGCGTTTTCTTGTTTGGCTGAGGCTATGATACCATTAATAACTCGATAGGAATTGATGGCGAGTTGCATCGGGTTCAACTTATAGTAGTGAAGTATCTCACGAAAAAGGGTGTTGAGTGGGAGCCGAAGTCCGCACCCATTGAAGGCTACCACAGGAAAGGGCATAGAACCAGTTGTAGGCATGATGGAGTCGTCCTCCCCAGCCAACCTCAGATGGACGTCGGCCGGGATGTCAAACTCTCGCCTAAAGTACTCTAACTTGGATGGGGTGTCTACCCATGCTTCCACATACCCATGATATCAGCTTAACTGAAGGGATTGGATTTCAGAAGGGTATATTTCTAAAGGGTTTTATGGACCTTGGCTAAAGCTTGAAAACACACAGAATCTGTGTGAAATCGTTTCAATTTTCCCTAAACGATTGTTTTGAGTTCTATGAACAAATTCCAAACCTAGATCTATGGAAACGAAGCTTGAAGGCACGAATCTGGAAAACAGAAAAGCAAGAATGCGCTTCAGAATCAAGAACAAAGATGGACTACCAAGAACATTGTAAGTACAAAAGGGTATAAAGTCAAGAACAGTGGCAAAAGTGCAGAAAAGTTGTGAGCAGTGCGTG